GTGTGTAGTCTCTATGTAACCCCGCTGCCATTTTATTCCCCTGTTTCTAATCCAGGATGCTGTTTCCCACTGTGTCCATTCACCACTCACATTTCTTCTCAGGAGGAGGCCTGACATCCCTACAAGATCTGACATGCAGGTTGATAAAAAAAAATATTCAATTCTTTCTGTAAAACACCACATCTTAAAAATATAGAAACTATTACACAATGGCACTTGTTACCTGGAAAATGTAACCAAGTGAGAACAAATAAAAGAGAATGAGAATTAGAGGGTTTTATTCCTCTGGGACTGTTCGGTAGAATTCTTAGAACCTGCTTTCATCATCCCAAAGCTGCCTGGGAAAGGGTTGGTGACCGCATCTTACGCATCACTGGTTTCCCAGGACGAATCACAATGTCCAGTACCAAGGCGATTTGAGCTTCATTCAATGCTTTTCCCTTTTTCTTAACAGTGCCAATTCTCCCTCGTATTCCCCAATGGCAATTCCTTGGTGACAATTGATGTCCAAGGGATTTTTTTGTTGACCTGTATTTGCCAAAAATCTAAATTCTGCAGCTTGAATGGTCATAGATTTGGTGCCACCTCTATTTTTTTTAAGTTACCCTACTGGCTCCATGTGCTCTTTCTGAAGAAGTGAGCCAACTTTAGCAAGAAATTGGGTCGGGTAGTTGGCTCATCAATTATTCTCTTTTGTCTTTGCTCTTTCTTCCATTGATGTTATTCTATTAGTTAAGAGAAAAATATACACGTCTTCAGTGTCAAATATTCCTACAGGGTCCTAAAGGTGAAGTAATTTTCTTTCAAGACTGCTACAAACTTAGTGTTATCAATTTACTTTGCACATATCCAGCTCCATAATTTTTTTTTTTGATGGAAAGGAATGCTTTATTTCCCAGCATGAAAGGTAACAGGTTCTGTGCAGTTTCTCTTACATAATAGACCGGTCTGCTCAGGCAGGCACCAACTGTGGCTTATCTGTATTATCCTCAAGGATGTTGTGGATAAGGAATATTCTTAAAATTGTAGTGAAGCTCATGCTCCTCCTTACTATCAATCACAAGTATGTCTAGTTCAATAGTCTGAGTTCTCTGTCTATGTCCATATCAGCTCCATAATTTCCATCTGGGCCTCCCACCCAAACATACCAATGCTTTTTCTCTTCTTTCCTTTTAGTTTTAGTTTTCTTCAAAAAGAAATGTAAAACACACCACTTTCTCTCGTGCTACTTACCAGATTTTCCTGGGAAACCTCCCATTCTAAAATAGATTGATACAAGAGTCTTGGAAATAGAACCAAAGTATGTGCCACTACACAAGATGTGGACTTTGCATTGCCCTTTCCTTGCCAGGGGCTAGTTTTGTTCCATTTTACTAGACTAAAACTCTTCTAGAAGTGAGTTATCTACATAACCCAAAAAGTCAAAGCGGGAAGGAAGGGTAGTTGATGCTCTTCCTTCCTAAGTCCTCACATCCAGAGCAATTCATCCTACATAAAATACCAGAACTAAATCTCCATGTAAAGTAATGTGGACATACAAATATCCCTTAGTAATAAACCCTGGCCTGATAGCTGTGCTTTAGCATAACTCATGTCAGTTCAGCAATTTTCTTGGACAAATTTCTTCTCTTCACAATTATAAATATCAAGATTCATAAGTGCCCTGTAAAGAGCAATAGTGGTTTAAAAAATGCACTCCAAAAATATCTCTTAAGTATTATATTTTGTCTCATTGTGAACATTGTTTCATTAATTCTCTCAGTATTTTCTTTATAAAATTAACTTTCATATCTGCCTTAAAGGATTATTTAAAAATACAAAAATATTTCATTCAAAATTATTTGAATAAATATTAAATGCATTAAATGAGAGACAATTTGGAAATCATCATAGGGAAAAATTTGCTTTCTTTAGATATAGGTATTGCTTTCTTTAGGTAACATGTTAAATAATGCTATATAGATAATATAATTTATAATAATACAAGTAATTTCAGCCAGAGTAACACTATTTTGTAGAAAATCTAACCCAGGGATGGAGATGACTATCCATTTTCACCATATTAAGATAGGAATCAAGGTACTTTTGAAGAAAACTTGCTTTTAATCAGTTAAAATTTATCCAGTTTCTCTCAGATTTCTTACCCTCTGCTGTTCAACTTTACAAATGTCAAGATCCCTAGGTGCTTTGTGAAGTGTAACATTAATGTTATTTCTGTTAAAAATTTCTCTCACTGAAAATTATCAGGCTTAGAAAAATGTTCAAATTATATTTCCCCCCTAACTGAATATAGAAGAGAAAAGAAAAACAATCTCAGTTTTCTAAAAATCTTTGGCAGAGTAGATAAAAAAGAAAGTTGATTACTCTTTCCTAAAAGAGAGTGTCCTGAATACTCAGATGTCAGAAATTCTGTACTCACATTTCCCACAATTATAAGAGTTTCTATCTGATAGTTGGGTTTATAAAATATTTTTATTTCAACATTTTGTTATTTCCTTTCTCCTCCCCAAATTAGAAAAATGTATATATGATATACAGAGCACTGGAATCAAATACAGTGAAAACAGGGGTTATACCATGGGGGAAGAATGTACAAAAGAAACAAAAAAAAATCACATGGTACCTTATAAAATACATTAAAAACACCAGCAAGAAAGATAAAACCACTTGTGTCCCTATCTTGGGGTTCATTTCGCTTAGCATCTGTACATTATTTTTACAATAACAATAAAATATATTTTTAAAAATAAAATATTTCATATCAAAATTCAGTGTCTGTTAGTAGAGATAAGTACACTAAAATATACTAAGAAATTAATGGTAACAAAGAAATAACTAAAAATTACATAAAAGTTAATAAAATAATTTTAATGTGACAGATATCATAAGAACACAATGTTGTCTACCATGATTATGTTATGATAAAAATACATTGTTGTTTGGAGAATTATACTGGGTGATTGTACCAAAAGGGCAAAATTGGGGCTGGGAAGATGGCTCAGTGATAGAGCGCTTGCCTTGCATGCATGAGGCCCTGGGTTTGATTCCTCAGCACATAAGCAGAAAGAAAAAAGCCGGAAGTGGCGCTGTGGCTCAAGTGGTAGAGTGCTAGCCTTGAGCTGAAGAACTGAGGGACAGCGCCCAGGCCCAGAGTTCAGGCCCCACAACCAGACCCAAAAAAAAAAAAAAAAAGGGCAAAATTGTAGCCTCAGATTCTCTCTCCACCTACACAGAAGCCCCAAATAAACAACTACGCATGCAATGATTACCTCTAAGAGAAATCAAGAAACTAGAGTCTTCTACACACTGATAAAACATTTAAATGAGTAGGGAAAACTGAGACATAGTCTTGCCATAAACGTTTTCCACATCACCATAAAATTGAGAGAGAACTTCCAACTTCCAGCTACTGCTCAAGGAGCAGAAGATTAAGATTGTACATCTAGGACTCCAACATTTGTAGCTGCTACGCAAAGGACTGGCTTCTAACTCAACCACCTCCCATAGCTGCCGCAGCTCAACATTCACCAGTCCGCAAAGACCACACCAACTCTGAGACAATTTCACCCATTCTTAGGAGGGAAAAAAAGGAAATGGTTCTTTTAATGAAGACTTAACAAGATTTAAACACAAAACATTATCAGGAAACACCGTTAGGCAGGAGAAGAGCCTATAAAATTGTCTCACAAAATTATCAGGTTTGTGAGCTCAATAGATTAGTTACAACTATGGCCGTAGTTATTTCCCTGCCTTTACAAAGGACCCTTTGCAACTTAACTATGTGCTTTCTCTCATCAAGAGGCAGAATTTATTTCCCACCATGTTGAATCGCACTGTGTGTGACTAGTTTTGCAAATAGCATGCAACTGAAGTGACACTGTGCCAGTTCTGAGTTAGAGAATCAGTTCAGTTTTGCAAAGTTGCCCAGTCACTACCAATTGTGTTGGCCCACTAGAAGATGAGAGAAATACATGGCTCAGCTTTCTCCATTACTCTAGCGAATGTCTAGCCAACTCTGTAAAACAGAGCTACAGATGCATGAGAAAACCCAATGAAGGTCAAAAGACACCCAACACATCTCAACTCACGATGCCCAACCACAGAACCAAAAGCCAACATGTAATTACTATTTTCAGGTATTACATTATGGAGTATCTCGGGCATATTTGTGTGTGTGCGCGTGTGTGTGTGTGTGTGTGTGTGTGTGTGTGTGTGTGTGTGTGTGTGTGTGAGTGTATAGTAATAGGGATTGAGGCAACACTCTACCTTTGAGCCACATTTTGCATTATTCACTGGATTTTTAAGTAGAAACTTCATAAAAGATTTTCTTATAAAATTTAAATAAATAGGAATTTAACAAGATCCTATAGCTAGAAGCATAGGATTTTTCTCCTGTAAGAGGCTTTTGGTGCAATTCTTGGAGAACTGAAATTAAATATATAATGTTTGCACGAGTTTTCACAACCAAAATCACATAGTCAATTTGGGTATTTATTAGAACTACGGAATGCATTGTAAATAACAAGAAGGATATCAGACCACAGATTTAAAATACTTAGAAAGTTGTTCTAGGAATTAAAAGAAACAAGGCATATAAAGAATCTAGAAAAGTACTATTCTATAAAAGCTATTAGATATTACTATGAGTTTGATTTGCTGTTTTTTCTATCAGATTATTTGTACTATATACTTGCACATGCACACATGGTTATATGTAGGAAATAGACAAGCACATATGGGAAAAGGTAATTTTAATAACATAGTCCAATTTGAGTACTTATGGTATCCATTTCTGTGTATTTCTTGTGTCCTAATTTAAAACTATTCTCTTACTACAATCACTGTTATAATATACTAAACTAATATCTTTACTTCAGCTCCTCAATTTTTAAAAGCAAGAAACAAACATCGCTTGAAATGAATCCCCATGAAAAACAAATACTCCAATATTCCTTTGCTTTAGAAGACATAGTCTATGTTTCTTTAGAACATAAATTCCAGTGCTTACCTCAGCATCACATACACTAAAATTGTAGTGATACAGAGAAGATTAGCATGGCCCTGCTCATGGATGACATTCAAATTCATGAAGTGTTCTATATTTTTAGCAAAGATAGGGGTGACATTGTCCATAGGGGAATTACTCATTACTTGGCTTCTGTATATCATCTTTATAATAACAATAAAAATATTTTAAAGAAAAATTCCAAAGCTATATTCCAAAACAACTTTTCATCCACACCAACCTATATAATGAAGAGACATGACAAAAAGTAGATTTGTTTACATTTATGAAGTTTGCCTCTGCACATTTCATGTGTGAAAGTTACAACTTACTGAGTCAATATATTGATATTTTAAATCTGCTTTTTGATTTTTAGTATAGATTTAAGGAAGGGTTTCACAACCTGGACACTATTGACATTTCAGATTGGCAGAAGAGAGGATTTCCTATGAGATGCTTAGCTGCTTTCTTGATCTGTGCTTCAGAATTTTACTTTATTCTTTTATGTCTTTAGAATATTGTTTACAACAGCATAGCATAATCTAAGACTGTGACTTCCCTCACTCACAACTAACTGTGAGTAAATGCATGAGATTATAAAGCATGTCAGTGCCTTGCAAATTTCAGTCTTAAACTGTCTCCAGGTTACCACAAATCAAAAGGAAGTATATTTTACTTTATAGAAACATATATGTTTCATTAACTATTCAGCTAAGGGAGGAAAATTCCTATTTCTTTAGCCAGTACTAAAAGAAACCACATAAACTTCACACATTTCTTCCTGTTTTAAATAAAATACTCACAATTCAACTAGGCTGATTTTAGTATGAAGCATTTCATGTATAATAAGATCATTATGTTAATGTAACAGATACCTTTCAAACTGTCAAACATTAATTACAATTAACGACAGTGTCTTAAAAACAAGATTAAATTGTAAGTCATTTTGAATTGTAGTTCAACAAACCAATATCCTTTTTTAAAACAAAGACTGAGTATTGGTTGTATGAATAATGGCTAACAGATTTTTTTAAAGACTATACTCAGAAAAATAATATATTTTGTGTGTTGTCTTTGAGGCAGTCTGAGCCTTTTACATGGATGAAAATGGCTGTCCGCTACATTCACAGCACAAACATGTCTGTTATTTAGCAGCAGCTCCAAAGGATGTCAGTTTTCAAATCCTTATCAAGAGTTACCAAAGGTTCTAAAGTCATCTAGTAATCTTTGAAAAACTTTTAATAATTTATTTTAGCGATATTCACTGACTACATAAAAGGAGATTACCATCTTTAATTTTTAGATTCTTCAAGCAAAGGCCCCAAATGGTGAGATTATCATGAAATACTTTAACATCTGGACAGATCAATGTTTGACTCATAAATATCAAAATCTCTAAAAAAAATGCGATAAAATCAAACACATCAATTTGACTTGTCATCTTTTCATTTACATCACAAATTTTTGTTATGTTGTAAACTTATTGAAGTCAACATATTAAAACGGCATAATAAAAACCACTATAAACTAATTTAAATGTTAGCTTTCAGGAGCATGTATAACCCCTTACTTGAAGATGACAGGGGTTAGAATAATGGACACACTTTAAAAACAAATAACTTCAATATTTTTTTTAGTGCATGTAGTCATTTGAGGTCCTTCTTGGAGATTATGCTTTTCTTTTTATTAAATCTTTCTTTTGTTATCTTTTCAACTCAGTATGTCAATTTAGGAGTACAAATCTTGATCCATGTCTCCCTGAACATGGACCCAAGAGGTTTTTCTGTTGTTGTTGTTTTTAATGTATGGTGTGATTTTTTTTGTTTTGTTTGTATGTTCTCCCCGCTATGGTATATCCCTTGTTGTCACTGTATTTGATTTTGGTATCCTGCATCTTGTATATTTATCTAATTTGGGGAGGGGAGCAGGAATAACAAATATGCCAAAACAAGGACACAGAATGACCCATTGCAACAATGATACTTACAAGACACTATGTTGGAAATGAACTTTACAACTTCTGGGAGGGAAGGGACAGAAGGAGAAAAACAAAGGAGAGGATAACTATGCTTGACAAGAAATGTACTCATTACCTTACTCATGTGACTGTAACTCCTCTGTACAGCATCTTTACAATAAAATAAATTTTTTAAAAAAGAAATTATATGACAGAATTTCTAATGGTTTTCCAGTAATATTCTTTTCTCTTGAACTTGTGTGTGTGATTTTATATAATAAAAATGGACTTTGAAAATTTCTCATAATTAAAGACTCTTTATATTCAGGGCCTAATTTTTAGACTATACAAACAATACATGAAAAGTTATTCTTCTGACACTGATTTTCCAAGTGAATGGGTCAACCCTGTAATAGTTCTTTGTTATAGTAATCTTAACTCCGGGCACCAGTGGTTTAAATTTATAATAAATACTAGCTACTCACAAGTTTGAGACCCGAGGATCATGGTCAAAACAAGCCAAAGCAGGAAAGTCCATGCGACTTTGTAATTAACTACCAAAAAGCTGGACGTTGAGCTGTGGCTGAAGTGACAAAGTGCTAGACTTGAGCACAGTAGCTCAAGGCCCTGAATTCAAGCCCCTGGACTGTCGCTCCCTCAACCCCCTAAAATATGATAATGACACTTTTCACATATTTAAACTTCTTTTCTGCTAAAGTCCATTTCTAGTTAAACATATCTGATTATTTGTTTTTCTCCTGGAAAGAATATCTAGCCTAGATGAGGCTAAAGAGACCAACATTCAGGGTGCAATTTTTTTCTGACTGTAGCAAGCAAAATGATGGCCTCTAAACGATGTCCAACTCTAATACCTGGAAACCATGAGCATTTTACAATCCATGGAAAAGGGAATCATGGTAGCAGATGGAACTGAGATTTTTAATTACCTGGCTCTAAAAGAAAGAATGGCCTTGGAATATCTGGGTATATTCATTGTCATGATAAGAGTCATTTCAAGAAGAGAGCTACTTTAAAATGACATGAAAAATATTCACTGGCCATTACTGTGAGTGGCCACAAACTAAAGAATATGGGTAGCCTCTGGAGTCAGGGGAAGCAAGGAAATGGTTTGCTCATAGAGTTCCCAGAGGGAAAGAGCTTATACTCTGACATTAGCTCAGAAAGACTAGCTTTGGACTTCTGACCTCCAAACTTGTAAGACAATAAATCTCTGTTTTAAGCCACTAAGAGTATTCATTTGTTATGTCAATAATGGAAAACTAATATAGATCTATGTTTATCCTTTCTCCTAATGATGGTTCTTTTAATCTACTTTCGTTCAAATATATCCCTGTATCTTTACTTTCTAAAAGGAAGAAACCTATTTTTTTTTTTATTCAGTACTCAGTTTAATCCAATTTCATCCCAGTTAGCCTTTCTAACCTGATCTTTCAATGTCTCTAAACTCAAGGTTGAAATAATACTCTAAACAAGACAGTGTCACTTGATCTGTAGTGGTTTTTCCTTGCCCTAAAATGATTACAGTATATGCACAAGGTTCTGTTGTTATTGTTGCAAAAGAGAGAAAAATAATTCATACAAAACTAAAAAGAGCAGAACATGGCTCACATAACTGAAATATCCAGTAACATTAATCAAATCTCTATCCAGATACTTCAATATTGTCCCTAATCAGCACCCTGTGTCTTTTCCTGTTGACTTTATTTTTGGACAAATCCTCTATTCAAGATAACATTAACTTTGTGTTTGCAGGTTTAAGAAACTAGCAAAAAGAATTCTTTCTGATGGAAGCATAGAATTCCATTATGTATATATACTACATTTGCTTGATCCATTGGCCACTGAGGGGCACATGGGTTGATTCCATATCTTGGCTACGGTAAAGAGTACTGTAATAAACATGGTTGTCCTGGTAGCTTTAATGTGGCTTTGTTCATGGTCTACTGAATAAATGCCCAGAATGATAATGCACCATTCATAGGACATGTAAACACTTGGAAAAATTATTTAAAGTAAAGTAAGCCAGATCAAAAAACATAGGTTGGATAATTTTCCTCTTTTGTAATTACATTTAGTGTGTGGCAAAAGACAAGAATACACTTGGACATGATAAATTATTTGGGACTATACACATTCACACAGTGAGAGCAAAGGAGGATATTTTTAGGAGAGGATCACAAGGGTTCAATATTTATGTGCATATGCTCATATAAAATTATGCTTATTGAAATGAACTCCAAGAAATGAAAACAAAAGGTTTTTTGTTATTTTCCTTTCTGTTTCTCCCTCTCTCATTGTTTCTAATTTCTGTACCTTTTTGTCTTGTATATAAGTTTGTCTGATTGGGAGAGGGTAAGGGAGAGCACAGAAATGGTGGGACAAAGGGTGAACTAACGCAATAGTGATATTCACTAGATACTATGTTGAAAATGAATCTATACAACTTGTGGGAGAGGGTGGTTGGGAGGCAAAAACTGGGAGGAAACAAGGGAAGGGGTGACACTGTCCAAAAAGAAATGTACTCATTACCTGAGTGATGTAACTATAACCCCTCTGTACATGGCCTTTACAGTAAAAACAAATAAAAATAATTCTTCCTGAATAGTTCTAACAAATATCAAATACGGCCCCAGTCTAGACTAAATTTCCCAAAAAAGCAGAGCTGGAAGTAAAGATTAAGATTCACTTTGCTTTGAAAGAATCAAGCCAGGGTAGTGACTTTAAGGGAAAAAATAAAAGTAAAGCACCTACAGATGTGTTATGTTGCAATACAGAGCTTTAACACTCTTCTTCAGAACATGCTGCAAAGAAACCCAGCTGCAAGATTCTCAGTAAGGATGCTCACTTGCCATCCAAGATTTCCCAGGAAGAAGTGAATGAAGAAAATGCTTCTGAGAAAAAGAAGGGGAATAATAGATTCTCCTGGCCTACCATTTTCCCATCATTTGTCATTTTCAGGAAGTCAGATCTCATACCCCTACTATGGTGTTTCATCCAAATCTGAAAGTAGAACAACAATAAGACTATTCACTCAAAAGAGAGAACAATAGAAGAATGTGTCTGATGGTTTCTTAAGAACATAATGCTAATGCTTTTAAATGGGTTCTTAACTGTCAAGCTCAC